GTGATCACTGCCGTAATCATCTTCAGGGAGTGTTTTGGCGTTGTTGAATGTCATCTGAACTTAATTGTTATAAAATCTATCTTTTTCTATGGCCTTGAGGAGAAGTGCCCACCTGGTTCATGATAGTCAATTGATTTTCTAGGCAATATAGAAGAAATTTTTCACATCTATCATTTCATAATAACCTCCAAAGCAGATAAATGTATTAAAAACGTAATCGCAGTCTTGCATACTGTATTAATAAATGTCTCGATTAACATGTGTTCGCGGATAGCCTCAAGAATGCCAAAGTAACCACTATACATAAATCGGGCCCTAATACTGATTCTAGCAACTATAGCCCAATTTCAGTGCTCCCAGTCATTAAAAAATCTTTGAAAAGGGATTATACAGTCGCCTATTTAAATATCTAAATAAAATAGACTTCTTTTATGAACGTCAATATGGATTTCAGCCACGTTCAAATACATCATCGGAAACTATTGATTTAGAGACTAAAATTAAACAATATTTATTTAAAACAAGTGATCCTAGGAATTTATATAGGTCTTTAAAAAGCTGTCGATTCAATTAGTCACTCTATCCTATTAAAAAATTTGAAAGACAGCGGTATCACTGAAAATGCTTAATCGAATCTTACCGTACATAAACACAACACAACGACGCAGAGAAATACCTAGCATAGCCCGCTTCATAGCTCTAGACTTTGATCTTTATCATACGGCCAGCAGTGAAGGATCATGTCACATGTATGTCATCAGTGGCAACACACATTAGTTGAAGAATTTAGCCTTCAAATATTGAGGTATATGCGACTAGATTTTCCAAAGTTTCCCGAACCCTGTCCATCCGAGTTACCTAGCCGTACTAACGGCCGGTTTCAGAAACACTAATCATGGAAGAAGTTAACTAATTAGCTGTCAAATGGCTTTTAATTATTATTTAAGGTTGATTTCACGCTCAGTAGTGTAATGAAAATGGATCTAACTAGATATATTTCCAAATACTATTTGAGCCCTTAGCGTTATTACCCAAAGTCCTGGGCAATGGCGCTCAAACATGTTTTTTTTTACAAAAGTTTTCTAATACTTATTAAGTCTAAAATAAATACGTTTGGTGTTAAGATGTAGATTACTGAATAGCTAAAGAACATGTTATGTTTTAAAACATTTGAGTAAAACTAATATTTTGAAACACAGCGATTTTCCCATAAGTGAACGCCATTCCCCCTCCTTCCCCTACATCAGTGAATCAGTAAATATTAACAAATTAATCATAAATGTCGGCATTTGATAAAATTTATTCTAAATGCAGCAGTTTATATTTGCACATAAGGCAAACGTAGATTAAAACAGTAACCTGTGTTATGACAAATTCATGTCTTCATGTGATTTTCCCCGCTACGGCTTTTACAGCCGTAAGCAACGAAAGCCATGTAATTTGTGATTAAATATCTTTTAGGAAACGAACAATATCCTAAACTAAAATACACGTTTTTCACTTAAAATAAATGTGTTAAATTAAATCACAGACGCAATGGTCCAGACTGGTGATCAAGATAGCGATGGTCGCGTCGACTTACGCAGGTCTATCGACCTGATGTTTGAAGTCATCGATTCGACCCGAATTTATTATAGGTCGACATGAGTCGGTTCGAGTTCGAATCGCCTGCTGTTGTGGCAATTCACTACAAAAAATTTAATTTTGGGTCAGAAATCAATGGGAATATACAAAGTAATTTTGAAAATACGGTGGCATATAGAGGCGGATCAATTATGGTGTGGAGAGGGATAACGTTTAGAGCTCGTACGGAGTGATGGTCGAGGGAGGGAAAAAGTTTGTTTGATATATCAGAGATATTTTAGAAGAACATTTTGTGTCATTTGATACAATGATGACGGCTTTATTCTGATGTAAAATAATGCTTGGGCTCACAAATTTCGCTCAGTTCAACCAAGCATATCTTAACCAAGTGTGTATAACATTGATGCAGTTGTCAAGTCTCCGGAATGAATCCAATGCATGTGGTATACCCGTCAACACCCCGAGAGAACTGCAAAACAAAAATTATTTGAAGAGTGCCAGAGCTTGTCATAATATACAATAGATAACCCAATTCGGAGCATATTCAGAAGGTTGGAAATGTTAGAGCGCAAGGGGGAAACCACACGTTTTTTCTCTCATTTATTCATGTTAAAATCTTAGTAATCTTTAAATTACAACTTTGTTTGTGTTCGTACAAAATAGAATTATTTTATTTTGCTTATTTTTTAGAATTTCATTTAAAATTTCTTAATGTCACAATTAAAAGATGTTTATCAGTTTGTTACTTCATGTCTGATTATTATTTTTAATTTTTAACGGTTTAATTAATTATCCATTATTCAAACATTAAATGTATCTAAAATTACATACTATCTAATAAATCAAATCCACGCGGCAAGTTGCCAAGAACGCTAGCTGCATTTCCGCGCTGAACAGTTATGCTTTTATTATGTGACAAATACATAATCTAAACATAGACTCATATTTATCCCATTTACTTACTTCAGCCGCCTCCGATGCCGCCCCCGCTCTAACCGAAGTATCCCTTAGATGAAAGGTAGCTAAAGTATCTACACAAGTAGCATCTCAAACAAGGGCTTTGCCCAGTCTCCCAAGGGATCAAAGTCAAACCGTTGGTCGGGTCTCTTACTATCGTTGCGTAAAATGCCACAGGTCTCGAAAATAGATGGAACATTAATGGAAACAAGAGCCTGTTTAGTTATAAATTAAAGAATATGGTTATTAATCATATTAGATGATTTTATTATAATTCACATTTTACTGAGATTCACATTTTAATTATACATTGTACCCAACTACTTGCTTCTCTGATATAGCCCATGAAGAATGTTCTGGAACTGCGTCGAAGTCAAACTCCTATAATGTTGCCAGTTTATTATTATTAACTAAATCCACAACAGAGCCCTACGGATGATGTCGTCTAGGGAACCGTGGCGTGAAAAACGGCTATCACTTTTTTGACAAGAAAGCCCGTGGAGACCAAATTTGTTTACATTGACACCACAAGGGCATTGCTGTGGTTGACAAATCGTTGCCCCCAGATGGGTTCCTACATCAATGCGTTGGCTTTCATCGTCAAGTAATGTGCCCAAGTTATTTGATGATTTTGTAAAGCGTGAAGTCAATAACTAAATTGTTTAAATGAGACGCCTAGGAAAAAGGCACGCTCTAAATTACTTTCTAAAGATTGAAAATGTATCTTTCTGTACTCTATGCACCAAAAGAACTCCTCACTGTTTTTGTAGGTGGAAGTAAGCCTGTGTGGAAGTGGTCTATTTTCGTTGGAGCAGATAGACGGACTCGGATGACTTCGTGGTGCAGAGGTATTGGCCTCGGCGTCGGGGGTCGTGGCTTCGATTCCCACACGGGACAACTATTTGTGCGATCCACAGGTAGTTGTTTCGCATCTGGGAGTTTGTCCACGAGAAATGTATGTTTGTAAAACGTCCTTACAACACAGGATATTGTTATCCTAAAGTAAGGGCAATGTTTATAAAAAAAAAAGATAAAGACAGCAAAGACATCCTTGCCTCCTGGGCACAGGAAAGTTCCGAATTATGATTAAGGATATTATTACATAAATTATTTATGCTAAGCGCAAAAATAAGTTTTTTCTCCCTGTTTATATTTTTGTAAGTTATTGTATATTATATGTTTAGTTTTATGTATGTCTATTGTATCTTATTAATTAGTATATTATTATTATACACAATATAATATATTCGGTTAGTTTATTTAGATCTTAGTATGTAAATTTATCATTCGCACAACCTACCGTTGTCAAAACTAATATACTTTTAGCCACAAGGTTATCTGGAAGAGATCGCTTTTTAGCGACAAGACCGCCTTATTGTTACTACCTGATAAGATATTTTTGTAACATTACTTTTAGATGTTTATGGTGTTCAATAATACTTATATAATGAGTAAGAAAGGCAGGTAGAGCAACACTAGAAATTTTCTATATTCGTAACGTAGGTTGAGCCCAGCTTATTTCAATAAGAGATAAATTTGGATTTTTTTCTAGAGCTGATTCTAAGATGAAAATTAATTTCGTTCAAAATTTGATTCGCTTTTCCAAACTGGACTTGAGCGAAGGAGGTACGTAAAAGGTACAAAATTACAATATCGCAAAATAGTAAGGGGAATATGCGAATTTAGTAAAAACAATTTAACATGATCTAAAAATGGATTTAACTTTAATTTTAAAAGGTGTTCCAATTGGTATTAACAAAGGAATACTTAAGAGGTTAAGTGAATGTGAACGAACTATGTTAATTCCTGGTATGATAGAGCTAAAATTTTTGGACTAAATAAAAAATTATTTGTTTTAATATACATGTTATTATTTCTATACTCCAACTTTTTTTTAACGTTCTGCTAATTGGGCCCGTGTGTCTATAATCATATAATTGGGATTGTTTTGGCTTACTTTTACACTCTTGATTAGTTATTCTGGGTATTTCAGATACGTGAAATACCCAGAATAACAAATCACTATGATTTTAAATAATTTGAAAGAAATTTTAACACAAATGATTATAAATTTCACTTTTAACAAACAAATACTTTAATTCTCAGTTAGGACTAGCTGTGCCCATGACTTGGTCCGCGTGGAATTTTAAGTAAACAAAAATTTAAATAAAAGAAGCCTTAGTTCATTTACGTAGGTTATCTGCGAATGAAAGTCCCGTCCTAATCGGTCCAGCCGTTTCAGAGATTAGCCGGAACAAACAGACAGACAGAGAGACAAAAATTGTAAAAAAAAATTATTTTGGTGTATGTAACGTGTATACATACATATGCATTTAGTAAAAAGCGGTTATTTTAATATTATAAGCAGACTCCAATTTTATTTATCTGTATAAATAAAGGTATAAACTATAAATATTACAGTGTGGCAACTCAGAGTCACCTCCATCTTTTTTGTCACGATGCCTCCTAAGAAGCAGCCTGAGAAATCTGGTAAGTTTGAGGTTTTTAAATTACTGTAATATAAATTGTGAATTTTAATTGCAATTAAAACTTGGAGTTCTTAAATAAAACGCTATAGTCAGTTAATGTTGAATTTTCTTTTTTTGGTAAGAACACTTTATTGACACTTGGCCACGCGGTATGGTCATTTTGTTACATTACTTACTTTTTTAAACTTTTATAATTAATGTTAACAATTTTGGCCATGTTTGGTGCATAATAAATAAATTAATCAATTTATGAGCGGTAAATAAAAATGCCAATTAAAAATTTGTGTCATAAATAACCTCTTCTTGAAGTTACGACTCCCCTATAAAATCCTAAAGAATATCTGTTTATGTAGATAGTAGAATGGGTTTTGTTATGAGCTTCTTACGATATTTTTCGTACACCAATACTTTGAACCGACAGATAAACATCACCAAAATTGTAATTACGAAGTAAAAATATGCGCCGACGTTTAGATTTTGAGACAAAAAGAACTAAATCTTATTATTAGTGACGTTGTCAAACCGTCTGAACCTGGATTAATGATTCAACATTCCTAATTCATTTCAATTCATGAATGGATAGTAGTAGATTAGATATTAATGTAGTATTCTTTTAAAAAAAAGTAAAAACGTGAGTTCTTATAAAATTATTGTCAAAAATGAATTCTGTATCCGACGTAATGGCGGTTTTTTGAGCATTTCAAGATTTTTTTCAATATCTAAATGTCGGCTTATATTTTTCTTCATAATTGTTGTTTCGTTTGTTTCTCTATCGATTAAAATATTGTACGTAAAAATAATAATACCTCAAGAATAATGTTATAAAAATTTTATGAAAGGGCTTATGTATTTGCAGGGTCCTCTGGGAAACCAGCAGAGAAAAAACCTGCCACTGCTAAAACGCCGGCAGCTGCTCCAAAAGCTGCTGCAGCTGCTGGTGCTGCACCTAAAACAGCATCTGCTAAAACTCCTGCACCAGCTCCTAAAACTGCAGCACCTAAGTCTGCACCTGCAGCACCCAAGCCTGCAGCTGCACCTGCTGCTAAACCAGCTGAGAAGAAATCAGCTCCTCTACCTACTGCAAAGCCTGGCTCTGCAAAGGCAGCTGCACTCAAGACTAAGTCCAGTGCAAAGCCTTCAGTTAAGAAAGCTGCTTCTGCTGCAAAGCCTACAAAACCTAAACCAGCTGCTGCTAAACTGAAGATTGCTCCAAAACCTAAGAAGACTGGCATTAAAGGACAAAAGAAAGTTGTTAAGCCAGTGGTTAAGGCGCTTAAAGCTCAAAGAAAAGTAAGATTTTTGTAAAGGAAAATAATTATTGCCATAAATGGTTTTGTGTTAAGGATTTAAAATTGTTCACTTTTATGTTTATCATATCATCATCATCAATTTAGTATTCTTACGTCCACTGCTAGGTTTCCCCCATAGACCTCCATGAGCGATCTGTATCTATCAACTTCCTGCATATAATTACCAAAACATTATCATAACATTTTAACGGTGGCAGGGCCATGCAACACTGTTGCACTAAAGGGCAGGTCAGTCGGGGTAAGGACCACAACCTCACAGAAGACAGGCGTAAAGTAGAAGTATTGCACTTCTGCGTTTCGTCTGGTGAGTGAGGTAGCCTGGGCCCACTAAATTTAAAGGTGGCAATGCATTTTCAACCCTACGGTGTTGTAAGGGCGCCAAGGGTTCCATGGGCGCCGGTTATCACTTAACATCAGATGAACCGCAAGCTCATTTGCCTCTTTCTGACATAAAAAAAAAACATGTTAAGTAATTTTTTTCCAAAACACGACTCAGTGATGCAATTGCTAAACTATGACGTTGACGCTAAGGTCTTGGGTTAAATAACCATGTGGGGTAATTTTATGTGTGACCCACAAAAAGAAACAATTGTTCCAAATCTGGAAGTTTGTTCTCAAGGAGGGTTGACGTAAGGGAGGTGATTGGTTGTTAAAAGCCTAGCCAATGCCATTTGCAACATGATTAACATGATACCAACCCCTACCTAAATTTGAGAAGGCAGGAGAATGATGATTCCAGAACATATTCTTTACGTTTTTTTCTTTCTAATATGACTATTTATTTACCCCATTGGGGAAACCTTTTTAGAATGTCTACCAATATCTTAAAATTATTTTTTCAGGTTGTGAAGGGAGAACATGGCAAGCGTGTTCGAAAGATCCGCACATCAGTGCATTTTCGTAGGCCGAAGACCTTTGAGCCACCAAGGCACCCGAAATATCCTAGGAAATCTTTACCAAAAAGGAACCGGTGAGTTCAGAATTTAAAATTTTTGATTTGAGTGAGAAGGTGGCAAGTGAGCCAGTGGTACACCAGATGTTAAGTGATAATCACCGCTCTTGGACATTTGTAGATGTGATGGCCACCTTTTAATAAAGTGGACCACAGATACCTTACAGATATCTGCAGTCCACTTTACACAGCACAAGTATAACGCTTCCACTTCATGCTGGTCAAGATCTGTTAAGACCTACCACCCCTTTTTGTGACAGCAAAACTGTTGCATGGCCATACCACAGTTTGTTTCATACTAGCAAAATCAGCTTTGTGTATCTGTATAAGATGCAACTGCAATTGTGATGTTACTTCTTTTTGTTAAAATGTTATTTATCACAGGTCTGATAGGCTTCATTCACATCACATATTTTTAAGTAAAGTGTTATTTACATACCACATAGATAATTTTTTTATATATATATATTTTTAATAATTGAACATGGTTTGTGAAATTATATTGATTTATGTGTGTGTTAAATTGGCAGGTTAGAAATATATACTATAAAAAAAAAAAAAAAATTGGTGTGTCTGAACTTGAATATATTCATGAAAAAATTAAATAGAGTATCATAAAAAGAATTATAGGAAACAGAAACCATTTTTTGGATTTTGGTCTGTGTCTGTCTGTCGCGATAAACTTGAAAACTACTTATTAGATTTCGATGCAGTTTTCACTGGTTACTTAAGCAAAGCTTGGGGCAACATGTTAATAAATTCTTTCAATTGATAGAATAAAAGCCCATTTACACGATGCCATTTTCTTGTACATACAAGAGCAATAATTGAATGCAATAAATTGCGCGCAATAATTTGTTAGGCCATTTGTTGTTTAGACCATGCAACTCATTTATTGCTTCAATTTAATTGTATACAACAGGCAAGAAACTTGCACCATGTAAATGGGTCTTTACAATCCAGCATACACATGGACAATTATTTGTGTGAATCATAGTATTTGTTTCCCAGAAGGTAACTGAATGTGGTATATAAAGTGATATTTATATACCACATTCAGTTACCAGATTATTGTGCACTAGCTTTTCGCCCGCGGTTCGGCCCGCATGTACTATATTTTATATTGTGTTTAAAAGTAGCCTTTCTCCATAAATGAGCTATCTAACAGTGCAAGATTTTTTTCTAATCGAACCAGTAGTACCTGAGATTAGCAAGTTCAAACAAAAAGACAGATGTTAGCTACACAGCTATAGTATCTGTTAGATACAGCCTGGTGACAGACAGACATTTGTCTATATCATAAACTGTGATATTTAGACAATTGAAAATTTCACAGATGATGTATTTCTTTTGATGCTATACCAACAAATAAAATAAATCAGAATAAAAATATTTCTCATACAACAGTCATGATTTTTGTTCCCTTTTTATAGATTATGGTATGGAACTCTTCGTGTACGATTGCGACTCGCGCTTGGCTGGTTTTTAAAATCATATAATCTAACGATCATAATCATTTTACAGACCATTATATAATAATTATAGTTAACTATAGTTTCATCCAATTCAGCTGTAGCTATTACTTTTTTTTAAGTTGATATATTTTATTTATGAACCAATTTGAATAAAACTAACACTAAATGTTAAGTGAAGTACTACAATGCATTAGTGAAAGTTGCAAATCGGTTAAGCCGTTTCTGAGATTAGTGCGCACAAACGCACATTAACATAGACAACAATTTCAACAATTTTTATAAAACTATAATTTTTAAATTGAAATATATCACATTGTCTTCATTTTCATCATAATTAATTTAAATAAATATTCTTTTCAGTATGGATGCTTACAACATCATAAAATATCCATTAACATCTGAAGCGGCAATGAAGAAGATTGAAGACAATAATACATTGGTATTCATTGTTCACACCAGTTCAAACAAGCACCACATCAAGGCTGCTGTAAAGAAGTTATATGATATCAATGTGGCTAAAGTTAATACCCTTATAAGGTTAGTAATAATATTTATTTCAACTGAACCAGCTTAAGTTTTTTATCTTTTTATAACACTTATATAGTTAGATGTGTGGCAAAATTAAAAAAAAAACGTTTGAAATATTGTATGTAGCAACAGTAAGATAAAATGTAATTTCTTATCATAACTTTTATAATAATGAAATCATGCTTATATAGAATCTTAATATACATACTTAAAAGCAGATATTTGATACATATAAATATTAACAAAATGAATAGTTTATATGATAGTGAATATGATGAAAACATTGTGGGAATCTCATTGATTAAGAATGAAATGAAGCTTACACATTTCTGACACTTAATTTTTTTAAAAAAATCATGAATTTATGTTTAAATGAAAATTAAAGAAGTACAATTTTTTGCAGGCCTGATGGCAAGAAGAAGGCATATGTTCGACTTGCCAGGGATTATGACGCATTAGATGTTGCCAACAAGATTGGAATCATATAAACATATGTACCATATTTTATAATAATACAAAAACATTTAAAAAGACTTATGTTTTTTAATAACTAAACATTATTGAACTAAATAATTAATAACCTCTTTTGGTATTTCTAATTCTTAATATTGTTTATCTCATTCATTGCCTGGGAATCTCTCACAACTATTTTCCCCGTCCTACAGATTAGTATGTCTTTTTGTACAACAAGTCGGCCATCTCAGATTTACTGCTCTACATCACATCACACACAAATCTTAGCTGTTTCGATATATTTCTTTGTAACAGCCTGTCTAAGTAGATGGAAAGTAAACATAGCTGAGACTGGTGAAATAAAAGATTTAATGTTTGCCCGTAAAACTTTAACATAACGATTATTATTTTTCGTTAATTATTATTTTTCGTTATTGTTTATTAAGACAATTAAATATGATACGAATTAAATTTGAATTCTTCGTAAAAATTTTTTTTTTCGGAAAACGAGTAGAAAGCTCACCTGATGGTAAGTGACCACCGCCGCTCATGGACATATGCAACACCAGAGAGCTTACAAATGCGTTACCGGCCTTTTAGGAAAGAGTATGCCCTCTTCTTGAAGGTTCCCAGGTCGTAACGGTTTGGAAAGACCGCTGGCGGTAGCTGGTTCCACAGAGTGGTTGTGCGAGGCAGGAAATGCCTTGAAAATCGCGCTGTTTCCACAACATTCAACGCTGGACATCGAGGTGGTGTGGATGTTTGATTTTGGCGCGATGTCCGATGGTGAAATACAGCCGCCGGGATCAACCCAAACAATTCCTCGGAACACTCCCCGTGATAGATGCGGTAGAAGATGTACAGTGATCCAACAAATACTTTTTTAATCATAACATTGCTGCTTGTGAACATTGTACAGCAACAATTACTAACTAATAATAAGTGTCTAAAGTCTTATCTGTTGTATTCTGTTTTATACAAGATCTAGTGAGTCGTTGAGTGATAATTTGTTGAAACTTCTGAAAAACAACTCTTTCCTTTATTGGCCTAGGTAAGTATTAAATACTTAAAAAACAAATGTTAAATCCTGAAGGAATAAAGAAATTGCAAGAAATTATGAAAATAATGGTCGATAATATGATTCCTAGCATATCTAAATTCAATGCTACGTCGTCTTAAGAAAGATTACCATTGCTACTATTCGCAATTCTTTGCTGTTCGCGATTTCCTATGTAGGCACTTTTTAAAACTAGAAGTGTATCTACTGGCACGAGCTTCTTCTAGAATATAATTATGATTAGAAAATTATTAAAATAACTAGCGACCCGCCCCGGCTTCGCAAGGGTTTAATGTATTATACATATAAACCTTCCTCTTGAATCACTATCTAGTAAAAAAAACGCTTCAAGATCCGTTGCGTAGTCATAGTTTGGCCAATTAGTTTTCATTTTATGAACATGTTTACAATATTTTAATGTTTGTCATCAAATCTTGCAAATTAAATTTGATCTACTTCCCAGTTACCGGTTGAGCTGAAATTTTGTATACATGTGTAAATCGCGAGACGATGCAATATTTTTATGACATGGTGCTGATCTGATGATGGAGCTGGAAAGTGGCCAAAGGAACTTCGCAATGAAACGACAGAGCCTCATCGCGTTTGGGTACATTTGAATAGTATTGACGAGTAGTTTGTCTTTCATTGGTAACCAGGATCTGATGATGGAGCTCCATCTTCAGCCGTCCATGGACATATGCATAGGGTTGCTGATGCGTTTTCTCCTTATAATAAAGTGGGCTCCAGCTACCTCACTCACCAGACAAATCGCAGAAGTACTTTACGCCGATCTTCTGTGAGGTCTATGAGGCTTATGTCTTATGTGAGGTTCCTATAACTACTCTGTAATGAAACGACTCAACCCAATCGAGTTTCGGCTCGTTTAATTCGTCTTGGCGAGTACTTAATTTTTAGATGGTTACCATTATCGGATGATGAGCTGGAAGACAGTCATATGAACTCAGTAAAGAAACAACGCAACCGTATTGTGTCTCGGCTCGTTTGATTCGCCATGACGAGTTCTTTGGTGCTAGATGGTAACCAGGGTCTGATGACAGAGCTGGAATATGGCCATAGGAACTCAGTAATTAAGGAACACAACTGCGTCGAGTTTGATTCGTCTTAATGGGTGGATCGATTTTGATGGGTGATGGGTGAGAGGTGGTGGTTTAGTGGACATGAGTATGCGACCCCATCTTTGGGAAATAAAGTTTGTTCGTTCCGTTTATTATGAATGTGGATTCTATCTGTGATTAGATGGATGAGCGCTGAATATTATGAATGAATGAATGAATGACTGAATAAATTTTTTTTTTTGTTATTTATGATCATTTTTTTAACGTGGACGATGAAATTTTTAGTTTTTATACGGCTATTTTAGGAGTTTTCATTTGGGTTGATTATATATTATTATTAACCCATGTCCCGATAGTCCCGTCTTAGGCTACTTGCCATTGAAGTGGAGCCAGCGTGCGGAGTAGAGGAATTGAAAAATATTATAAACAATACGTATTACAACTACATAAAATCTGGTAACGAAGAAATAATTAAAAAGAAATTTCAAATATATGTAAGCTTACCAACAGCTACTTAAAAAAATACTATACAGGGAGGCTTTTCTAAGTGTATCCATTTTTTTATTAAATTCTAGACATAAATAAAGTTATATAAAAACGATAAATGTTTAGAATCACTCGTAATTAATTAATTACATTCATTTGAACTTATCTCAGAAAGTGCGTAATTTATGGGCAACTCATTTATTTAATAACTAATACGCACACAAGTTCATTTAAAATGTATACGACGCATTTATGAATGACTACCGCATTGTCAACAAGTTCTGTTTTTTGGGGAATAGAATGCCAATTAAAAAAAAAGGTTTGTTTTTATTTCAATAAACGGTTATACTACCGAGTTTGAACCTCTAGTGTGAATTTTGGCACTTTTATAAAAGCTACCCTGTATAATATGTAATTATAAAAAGCAACGAATTGTTACGAACAAAAAAAGATTTTTGCAAATCCGTCTATATATGACGAAGTTATGCCCGAACATAAATAAAAAAAATATAAACATCCGAATTGATAAGCTCCTTCTTTTTGAAGTTGTTTAAAATACCTACTTTTTACTTGTCTCTATCTATGATTATAAAAATTAAATTATAACTGTTGTGAATATAAATTATATTATAATACCCTCAACAATAACTTCTTATCACTTGACCACGACTACGTGACCCCGCCCTGGCACCAAAGCTGGATCCGCCCTTGGGACAGACAGACATGGGACTACTTTGTTTTATACTATGTAGTGATAATATAGGAAATAATGTTCGTCAAAAACTTAAATTCAAAAAGTAGGTCTAGTATACAGCGTGTCGTTACCATCGCGACAATAAATGAACACACGTCTAACACTACTTGCCAATAATCATAAAAAAATGTTAACGTTAAACAAAATCCATAATTAAAAAAAAATATTTTTCAAACAAACTAATTAAGTAAAAAAGAAACAAAATTTGTAACACCTATACAACTCGCGCCACATGACCTTTACAAATGAACTTTACGTTACGCTTTTATAGGTTTATAGGAAAATTTAATAACTCTAAATATTGATGTTTAAAGAATTTAAATGTTTAATACAACTTTAAAAAGTTATCCCCTATATGTGTGTTCATTTATTGTCGCGATGGTAACGACACGCTGTATATGTATTATTCCGGTATACAGCGTAACTTTTTAAAATTGTATTAAGCATTTACATTCTTTAAACATCAATATTTACCGAGTTATTAAATTTTACAAAGTAAATTTCATTTGTAAAGGTCACAAAGCATGTGAATGGGTTGAATGAATTTAAAAGAGATAAAACATATTGTTAGGAGTGACTTGTAATCCGACGTTGTAGCAACGAATGAAAAAGTCTCTGAATGTATGAATCAGTCAGATGTAGTTGTATAGGTGTTACAAATTTTGTTTCTTTTTTATTTAATTAGTTTGTTTGAAAAATAGTCTTTTTTTAACTATGGATATTTTATGATTATTGGCACGTACCGTTAGACGTGTGTCATTTATTGTCGCGGTGGTAACGACACGCTGTATATGTATTATCTAAGCGCCGATCCGACATTATGGACTAATAATTTTCCTTAATATCGAACAGTACGCAGCATAGTCTCCACTAAATCAAATCAAATATATGTTTATTAAAAGAGACGCTTGCGCGTTCTTATGAATCGTCAGATTTTACATAAAAAATTATATATAGGTTCGTAAGCCATACCACCGGTTCGGAAAGCAGTTTCTGCTGAGAAGAGACTGGCAAGCAACGCAACAGAAATATTAGTTTTTCAAAAATATTAGTTTACAATATAACATACAAGTTTAATAGTCTTATTCTAGCCTACGTGAGTATCAACAGCATTAACCGCACACATTGGCGTCGTCGAGATATTCCGCAATGATATAATATGCTTTAACCATAAGTTGACTTTTAATTTTACGTTTAATGATCAAGCGACAGACTTAATATCGACTGTGGGGTTTTATTATATATGCGCACCCTTTGCCCCATGAACGACCTATTTACTTTTTGTAGAGGAAACAAAGGCGAAGTAAGTTTGTCCTTATTTCTAGTGTTTATGTCTGTTACTATTCTTTAGGTAATAATTAAGGTACTGACGAATATACAAAATATTACAATAAATGGAACAGTGAGTATATTAATGTCTCTAAAAAGATATCTGAGTGAATTCCTGGCTCCGATATTGTACTTTGCACGGACAGCTCTTTTTTGAAGAATAACTATAGAATTCATATCAGATGCAATACCCCACAACATAATGCCATACGACAAGATGCTGTTAAAATAACTGAAGTAAACAAGTCTGGCAGTGTCGATGTATATTAGCTGCCTAACCCTTCCAATCGCAAAAACAGCGGAGCTTAGCCTATTCTCTAGAGATGATAT